GGACACCAATCTCGGACACTCCATGGCATATTTACCTACATCGGATTGGTTTAATGATGTTTGATGGGGTAATGTAGGTGTATATATATACCCTATAGTTACTATAATTACTATACATGATTCTATTATCTTCTATCCATGGATGTTTGGGGAATCCCAAAAAGGTTCACCAATGACGGTTGCCCACCGGCCTGTCCAATCTATATACGTGCGCCATGAATCTCGAATCTCAGCTGCCCCGAGCTCCGAGTTCGGCAAACAAAAATCCCACCACCAGCCAGCCGTTCCCACCGACATGGAACTCCTGGCAGTGAAAATTCGGAACTCCTGCCAACCAACTGACCTCTTCACTTTTGCTGCGCGCTCGTGCCGATACTTGGTCGCTGAGAGTCCCTGACGAATGTGATGCCACTGAGTTTTCCTCTATTCAGCTGCTAGGACAACCTATACCTGTTTATCCTGTTTGTGAGTGTGCTACTTGAGCGAAATAACAAAAATTCATCTGTTACCGTTACCCCTCCTGATTTGGGGATGGGTCAAGACTTGGAGTCCCAACAGCATGTAGCTTGACCTGCCAGGTGGAAGTGTCAGACCGGAGCGCAAGTCATGTCGGTAGGTCAACCAAGGTATCCTGGTGTTGACACAACCATATCGTTTGGCCAACCCACTCCCTGAGCGCCCGGGCTAAACTGAACATTCGCCGCCTTGGTCCATCTTCTGTCAAACATCTGTCATCGGGTGGTGATCACAGCTACTGTCGCAAAACAAAACATATGCCAGCATAGACCCCAACAAGTTTCAACATTTTATTGGGCGTCAACTCCTTGAATTCCAATATTGGTGGCAAAGTCTGTATTGGGAATGACATATAAACAACACATTAAAGAAAAGGATGGTTCCTGATTCCCGAGGCCACATGTGCAAACACGAAGGCATATGAGAAAATCCGAGGATGATATCAAGCGCTGCATCACTCTTGCATTCACACATACCCGGGGAGAAAGTGAAAGCGGGCCAAGCAGGGGATAAGGCCGGGACGAGGCGGTGATCAAGGGGCCAGAAGAAAGGCCCACGGCACCCATGCCGCGGCCAAGCAGGACACACAGACCCGGACAAGGATTGGACAAGGCCAGGCCTGGACAAGACGGCGGAGCTCAACAAGGACAGCAGGGCCTAGGGTGTGGCCAAGCCGGACACACGGACCCAGACAAGGCCTGGACATCTGTTTGGGGAACAAGGGAGGACACAGCGCGGCCAGAGAACAGCAGGAGGACACCAAGAGGACAAAACAAGGACACACATATCGCCAGCGTGGCCGGAGGACATCTAGAACCAGGAGGACAAGAGGAGGACACAGGACAGCAGGAGGACACCAGGACAAGAGGAGGACACGGGTTTGCGAGCGCGGCCAGCAGGACAACTGGAGGACAAGAAGAGGACAACAGGAGGACAACACCCAAACGAAGGGTTCAGGGGTGCGGCGAAAGACTGTGGCCAGTGTCTTTTTCCTAAGAGAGAACCCCAACAGTGTTTACTGTTTGAGGGAAAACGCACCAGGTTGTATGATCATGCGTATGGGACACGTATGGAGATCTTGAAGGAATGGTTGATAATGGTTGGGTGATGGGTGTATGCACATCTATATCACATGGAGCTCAACATTTCACCATGCGTGTCTCGTGTCTCCTCTTCCACACGTTCATCTTGCATGCCTCGTTCTGTGATTTGTCCTTGTGGGAGAGGGACTCAAGAAGGAATTTGCTTTCCGCTAGTACTGCTGGAAGGGGGTTGGGGGTCTCCGAAGGCACAAGACAACATGAAAACTGAAAGACAACACACATACTGAGCACAAAATTGAACACCTGAAGGGAACACAAAGCAAACAACACAACTGATGGATTTAGTAAACTGAAACAAAGGGTATCGTAAATGGAAGGGTTTGGGAGGTCATGTTAAGAGAGGTACAACTGGAGGAAGCAGAAAGGCAAAGGCAACCTGAGGAGTCTTTAGAAAAACGCAGCAAAAAGGATGACTCTAGGTATCCCACCTCCTGCACCACTCGGCTGGTTCTAAAATCTTCTAAGAAATCTGTGTTTTGCGCAGTCCGTGTCTTTTGCACCACTCGAACGTGTCGGGCGTCGTTTGCTTCACCTGGACCCGAACAACAAAGCAACGCTGTTTCCGCTGGGCTGGGAGGAGGACAAGTCCTTTTCCGTCAAGGTGTGCAACGCGTAGAGCATCACAAAACCTCGATGCAAATGGAAAAAACGAAGCTACTAGGGGCTCCTGGCCTTACTACTACGAGCAAGAAACTACTAGCAACAAAGGGCATCGCTACCTTCACGGAGCAACGGCAAACTTTCAGAACTTTCAGCTCTGTCGGGGCATTCGCTCCAGGAACATCTCATCTCTCATCCGCTGGAAGAACTTACACGTACTCAGGTGCGGCACCAAAACAGTGGAAGGTATGGAGCCACTCCCATGTAGCTGGCTCTGTCCCAACACTTTGATGTTGGGGGAGCAACGCCCACAGATCTTCCCAAACAGGCAGGCCATCGCCATCCACAATTCTTTCAGGTACAAAAGAACTGCTAACAAACATCAAATATACTGAAGATGATCCCAGTCAGATCTGTTGTAAAGAAACCACGGGGCAAATCAGGGGGCTATGATGTATCACGACTGTCGTGATGCATCATGTCATTAGGTAATGCATAATGGCTATGCGTCTATACCTATTATATGTCTAAACTCCTGTGACATGGATAAACTATGTAACATTAATCTAGGAGAGATAGGTTTGTGTAATATATATATATATATCGAAACTAACTAGTAAGAACATTATCATTCAAACTGTGCACGAGTTCCATATTGTCCAGTCTGAGGACACAGGTTTTGGAGAAACCATCAAGCCTGGAATGCTCGCTTGGTACCAGTAGCACCCAAAGTGCTAGCACTGGCCCAAACATCGCTTCCAGTCACTGGAAATAAACCTATGGCTTGTCTTTCAGACACATTCAAAAACAAAAGCACTGGGTCATACCTGGATCTTTTGTCCTGACATCCTGTGGATGTGAGCACGCTGGGACAAAAGGCAGTTCTCCCGACAATGGCGCGTCATTCCTGCAAAGGCTGCAAAGGCATAACTAGACTGTGCCCGAACCTAAAAAGAACAAACGTTGATGCATGTCAAACACATCTACTACATACTACATAATCCCGAGTACCTATTAATAAACACTCCCAATTAAAAAACACCCCGTCCGAAACCCTAAGTTCGGTTTATATTTGCTTAAATTACCGCCCTTTGAAGCCGCTACTAAACTACCAACATGGTCGATTTTGGGGGTAGTTTCTTTTATTAGGTTCCAAAAACAACCGTAACTGCCCACATCTGTCCGCCCTGTGTATCCACCATGACACGCCGCGTTTACACCAGCAGGTTTTCCTTCCTCCAATGGCACGGACTCGCGCAAACGCACTTGCCACCGAGGTCGTGCAAAACCGCATGGCACAGCGACATCACCTTGCGAAAGCTTTGGTTGTCAGTCTAATGAATCAGTATTCTAATAAAGGTTTTTGTAGGGGAAAAGGAAGACCCTTCGATCTGGAGGTTTTTTGCATTATTTTGATACGAGTTTAATAAAGGATTTTGTATTACATTTTTATGGATTACTTTTTTGTTTTGAAGCTCTTCCCAGGTGACCCGATTTTGCACCTTCCAATTTCAGGGACCCCCTATTAGAAAAAATGCGACCGAGTTTCTCTTATTAGGGGAGGGGGGGGGCTGTGTTATTAATAGGTGGATGGGATTAATTCGTCATTGAACACCACAAGAGTTCACCACTTTGGCAAGACCCCTTGTCATCCACATTCGGCTCCCCCAACCAAACACCAAAGACTTGCTTTGTGCCGATCGGATGGGCACGTCACGTCTGCCGCCGCGTGGCCCTTGCGTGGCAACAGCCACTCTTCGATCCGCCGCAGGGCGCTTTTCATGTCGAAGCCCGGCACCGACGGAAGGCCGTAGTAGCCGACCTCAGTCGCCGACCCCCGCGCTGGGGGTTCTTCCCGCGGTTTCGAGACGGAACGCCGCGTTTTGTGTTTTCCGCGGCTTCCGGGTTTTTTCCGGGTCCGGGCGGAGCAGAACTGGAAGAAGCGCAAGCTGTCGTCGTGCTGTTGCACTATTTCAAGAGGTTTGGCGGTGTTGCAGAGGTTTTCGGAGCTCCACCAATGCTCCGGCAAAGTCTCCAGAGCTGCCAGAAACTTTATTGGCCAAAGTCGAAAGCTTACTCTTGCTACCAAAAAGGATGGAGAGTCCTTCCGTCCTTGCCATTCTTATCCTAACGAAGAAACACCAGGCTCCAGGTGTTCAAAGGATTATATACATGAAATTTGCATACTAGTAGCAAGGACGCTATTAGGTGGAGGCCATCGCAAGTGGGTCGGAGGCCATCGCTACGAACGTAGCAAGGACAAGTCTGACCTGAAAATGTCGAACACCTCACCCCGAAGCTGAACTCTGGGTCACTTGTGTTTCTGGTCACTGGTGAATTCTCGGAGCAAATCAGCCTGACCCAAAGGCGAAGAACGCAACAAAATAACTTGAGAAATATGGATAAATCATATGCTGCGTTATTATAATCCAGCAAAATCATAGGCAACTGACAATGCATATCATATGCTGGATGTGTCTTTGCTCATAAGGTCTCAAAGGCGCTGGGTAGAACCGTTGCAGGCCTTAGGTATCCGTATTTACTCTGCAAATAAATGAGAAATATCGACGACCACAACAAAGCCTTGAATCTGATTGAGTGTTTGCTGAAAAGAACGATACTATAACAGTGCAGGAAGCTCATAGGCAAATTATCATGCATTTTGTTTCACCCATTCCTGAACAACACATCTGATTATATAACTCTATATAGTAGATAAGCGAAATTCCGCCAGTTCCAGTTCCAGAGAACATGTGCCTCCAAGGCACATCAATGTACATCTCATCTTTGTCTGAATGAGGATGGTGGATGCTTCGAGGCTCGTGGTGCTTGTTGAGATATGGGCAAAGCCATATGGGATACACGCCTGTGCGACTGCCGTGGCGGTGTAGAAAGATATGGGGTGTTCCAGTTCTGTGGGTCATAGGACCCGCCAGGAACTCACCCATTATGGTATGTTATTATGGTAAGCATCTGTTCAACCTTCTGGAACACCGGTACATGGAAACACCACTCGCGGAGTGCTTCGAGATCGACCACCCCAATAGTGTTGCAGCATATTGCAAGTATGCCAGTCCCAGGCAGGTCATGTCTGGGAATTGAGCTCCTTCGAATTTCTCGCTCCAGCTCCGTCTCTGGCCCGGCGGACCAATGGCCGGGAGGGCGACTCGGCGACTCGTGCGGACGCGGAGGAGGCCTAGTGCGTCGTCTCCGAGATCCAACATCGGCTGCAACTCCTTGATGGGAATCAAATAGTCCTGCCGACTTCAGATACGTTCAAAGCCTGCCAACATCTGCCAACCAAGAGATGAAATTGGACCGGTGAATGAGACGTGAACATTTGCAGTGGAAAAACAAAAACAGGACCATGATGGACCATGTATGTCATAGTACACTTGTTTATTGGAAACACCACTATGATTCTTCACAGGCCTTTGGTACGTAAACGAGAGGCTGTTTCAGGCATTTTTTTCGCCTGGGGTGTGGAACCAAATATCGCCCAAACTTAAACGTGTTCTCGCTCGAAAAGTGGCCCACAAAACAAGTTGAACGCTGATTGAACGCTTTTTTGCAAGAACTTTCCGCTTCCGCATGCCCCGGGACCGCCGCCGTGCCCGCAGGTGCGACGCGACTCCTGGATGACGTTGACATTGCAATAGTATCTGGCGACAATGAGGTGTCAACAAGAGTTCTCAAGTGTGGGCGTCCAAACTACGACCAAATGAATGCTTGCACCATCTTGTATGTATAATTATTGCGTTATATTGTGATGTATTACAATACAAAGTAATTGAATTTTGTGTTGTTTCAAAACCACAGTTTCCTGAGAAGGGTTCCCTCTATAGGGAACTCTGTTTCAGGCAAACCGCAGACTTCTGGTATATTGACCACTGACTAACAATGCTATTGCGACCGAACTGCATTTCAGCGTCGGCATCTCTGAGAGATTCTGGAGAGGCCAAGAAACAAGCTGCCGCTAGCTGCCGCTAGATACGTCCGATCGGTGTTGTTCGTTACCATTTTGGGAACACTGTGGATTTGAACACTTTTATCACACTGGGTCTGTCCAATCAATGAGACACTGTCTTGTCTCTACATGTAACGCAAACGCGGCGTGGGAAAAGAACCCCTTGAGGATTCCAGGATTCCAACCCGAAACGAACTCCCAACAAAAGCAAAGCACAATAACTTATATAAGCAACAAATGCGACAGAAAGCATACGGCATCATACGGCGTTCATCATGCGCCGGGCAACAACATGCAACAATGACATGACCTCAGAAAGACCTTATGTGTTCACTTGTGAGGGGAGCTACGTCTTTGTATATACCTCCGTAGGGATCCAGTCGTACCTTCTCAGAAGGTACTTGGACCCTCCAAACCTACATAACAGTGTCTCAAATCACCTTCTGAGAAAGTACTTGGATCCCTAGGGCTTCTATGTGTATATAATATATATTACTTGAAACAACCATCGCATCCAAACAAGACGTATATAAATGTGCGTGATGTCTCCACCCAGTGCCTCATGGTCCACTCGGGTTGGTATGATTTCACCAAGGCAATGTTCAACGGATTGATCCATCCTTGAACATCTCGGGATGGGTCGGTGTCGGGATAGATGATTCAACCACGTCGTATGCGCCAGTGAATCATAAACAGTCCCAAATCAAAATATGAAGGCCTCTTTCATGTGTATATATATACAGTATATATGTATACTTTCTACGTTCGATGGATCCAAATCCCATTGAGGTCCAAATTCTGGATTCGTTCATCTACTTTCGGATTCAATTTCTGGGAAGGTAGTTGGACATCAACCACCTGAACCACCTAACTTAGCCGTGTCCTACATTCATGGGTTTATCGAACATGAGGGGACACCCAATGGATGTTCCTCTACTTATTGTGCATCATATATGTTGGTAAGACATTTCCCCAATTCTGAGAATGATACACACCTCTTCTACACCCATTCTTGCTTTAGAGATCTGACATGAGGTGAGTTCATCCCTACTGGGCTGCTTCACTGAAGCCTTATGTCTTTGAAACTGCAAGTGCGCGGATCGATGGCCTAAGTAGCGAAGGGCAGTACAAAGCTTCGCTGGTTTTGGCCCATGAAACCGCACCACATATTGGGTGAATCCATAAATCATGGTGGATGGGCTCGTTTTTGATAACTTATTTATGATAGATGCTGAATTGGTGAAAGAACCAGGAAGGATTCCTATCAATGTGAGCTTCTTCGGGTCTCACCTCGGGAAGGCCAGACCTCGGGGTCGGTTCGGACTCCAAGGACGTCGGCCGCGAAGCCGAACGAACGGTTGTTGCCCGGTGGCAACAGCCACGAGCCACCCATTCCCCATGGGCACTGTTGCCATGTCCAGTGGAGAAGAACGGTTGCCAGTGGAGAATCGGATCACTTGGTGCGGTGATGTAGTCTCAAGATGTCGTGAATGACGCTTGGTGTGTCAGCAAAGGTAGTGGTCTGTCAGTCGACGCGAGCATGTTCAACAGTCGAACCAACCATCACGTCAACCAGTGCCGTGAAAAGCGTCCCATCAACCAGCGGAACAGCATCGTGTTGCCCCATGGCTGCAAGTATGACCTGGCGACGGAGGCCAGTCCCTCAGTCCAGGGGCGTGGGTGTTTCCTTTGTGGTTCCAGAACTGAAGTGCCGATGGAATCCCCTCGCCACGCCGGCTTCTGGCCATAAATGTTTGGGTTCCAACCTCCAACAAATCCCTTCACAGTGGCCTTTTGGGAGCCCAAATGGGCCCAGCATCTCAGGACCCAGGCAAGACATGGCTAGACATGGCTAGACGCGTTCTTCATGTTGGGTAGATGAAAGAACAAGGAGCCGAGTATGTAAAAACATGCTGCAACGCACATGGCGTTCATCCAGTCTGCCTGGTGGCAAAGCTAGGGATTACAGTAAAACCGGGAGTTAGAAAAGGGCATGTTTCTTCGTCCTACGACATGCAAATAGAAGGATACCCACGCGCTGTGCTGACGTCTGACTGATTCTGAGTACCCAACAGCTCCCAAAAGATACCTTGGTGCCGCTTCGGTTCTGCACAATTCGGTTCTGCACAAGTGTTTCACCAATCCAAGTGCTGAGATGCTTGGTTGGTTTGACCTCCAAACTGCTCCTCCCAATGGAAGTGATCTTTCATATATAATATAATATAGTAATTTCTTCAGGCCAAAGTTTAAACATTCCTAACTTACAGGATGTTCGCTGTTAGGCATGACAAACATGCCTAATTGACGAACATGTATATAGGTTCTTTGGTAACCCCTTCCCAGGAAGAAATTCACAACAGAAAAAACACATTTACCTTCTGCCTAGATATCAAACAAAACACATCGATCAACAACAGTTATATAGAAAAGATCAATCTCAGGGCCTATTTGGTCCTTACATGCTTTGGAGCTGCACAAATACAAACGACCAAAAGTGCTAAGCAGTGCCTTCTCAATGCGTGCCCCATTCCTTTTTGCTTACCGTAAAGCCTCAACAAATGAAACCAAACACGTCTCTCAGAGCAACTCTTTCTTTGCAGAGCTGCTCTTAGAATGTCGATGCAAGTATTCCGTTGTGCCTTGGAGAGCGAGCAAGAGGTCGAGCGCCGTGAAAAAAGGACGCAAAGGTCGATTTTGTTGGGGGGAACGGGAACTGCGGGAACTCGACCCAGCAAAGAAATTGCATCCCAACAGCAGTTCCCCTAGCCTTCCACGACTATAAAAACAATAGTTGTTGTCTTGCGACTATTCGAGTCTGGCAAACGACTATTTCGAGCTGCAGCCTCCACCGGCTGACAGGATTGATGGTGCTGGTGCGTGGAATCAAGAAGTTTCAGGGAAATCGAAGACATGCACTTGAACTTTTGCAGTTTAAGAACCCATGTATAATATAGATTTTCGCAACATACAGTGCATACAACACTTTCTTCAGTTGCAAGTTTCGCCCATGGTGATTCCTCAGCATCAGCATGCCTTCATCCAAGAGAGCATGGGCACAACGTCCAGAGCTTGGCGCAGAAGAACCAAACTCAAGAAACAAGGTTGATCGATCTGCATGCATCAATAGCATTGTGTCACCAGTTGATGAACTTAATGGATTCTGATGATTCTGCGAGATTTTTTCCTTTGGCCTGCTTATTGCAATTTTCTTTTGAGCTGCAAAGTAATTACTGGCCTAGATGAGAAGCTGGATTGCATCTGACATATTTGACCTTGACTCATCACACAAGTGAGGCCTGGCTGAGAAGGAAGGCCAGCAGACCATTGACCTGGACCTGCTGGAATTTGGACCAGGTGCTTCCCTCCCAGCCAGCATTGGGGATGAAGATGGATCAAGCACATGTTCATTCACGGTTGTTTTGAGATGGGCCCAAGTCAGCCCAAGAAAACGTTTGCAAACGGTATTTGATGCATATTGCAAATTGTGAAACGCGTTTTCGCTGTTATTTGGACTGATTGAAATCTCATGCATGTTTGCGTGTGTCCAGATGATTCTTTTGTCTGGCAATTTTTTGCTAGTGAGCAGGTGGCACTTTGCAGTGGCATAGATCACGAGGGATAGATCATATGCACACTCATGCTCATGCATACGCATGCATGCGTATAGCTTTGCAATAGCATCTGTGGCTTTTTCACAGGGCACCTGCATTTGTGCCTGTTGCGATGGCCATGGAACCCCAATCCCCACGAGCTCAACGTGTGGAACTTCTCAAGGCTAGCCAGGGCTTTGATCTAGCATTGCAGCTGAGTCAAGTGGGCCTTTGATCATATGACAATGCATGTGTAAAATATATTTTTTGTATGTAATTCACTCATGCTTGTGTTTGTCTTTTATATATTTAAAGGTTGCGATACATGAGCTGAAGGCCAGATTATTTAGCTGTAGCAATTGAAATTGCTTGCCTTGGCCTTGTGTTCCTGATGTATTGAGACTTGCCGCAAACTCTCAGAATTGGAGGCCTTTTTTGTTGACATCCTGGAGGAGGAGTCATTTTTGGAGAAGAGACGCAAGCTCTTGCGACAACGCGCTGGTCTGACTGACCGTGACAAGCTGAAGGCCAAGTCCTCACATAAAATGACAACTCGTCATGCTAGTTTTGGGCAGATCTGTGGGTCATCTTGTGCGGAAAAACTGTACTACATACACACCTTGTGCATACCGGTACACCATGCATACAAAAATCATTTTCAAGTGTTAGGCCAGTCATGTGTGGCACACTTTGCCTTCGGGTTGAGACAGGCTTCATCAGTTCATGATCAATCCATTCATGGGTTATACCTTGCAACCAATGCACTCCAACATTATAAATTAGTTCTTTGTGTAATCTCACTCCAACCTATGATAGATCTAAGGAACATGTGTATAAGTCGTGGAAGGTCGATTCTTTTGGGGGTTTATTATATAATATATTATAAAGTTTCGGACCACACGAACGTTGCCCACAGCCCGCCAGGTTCCCAAGTGGCAGTTCGTGATTGTGGAGAAGGGCGCCAAGCACATTGGAGCAGCAGAGGCCTCTTTCACCACAAAGTATCGCAAGTCACCATGGTCCATGGGGTGAGAATCACAGCCTTGCAATCTTTCGAATTTCAGGGCATGGTCCATGCTGCGTGCAACGTTTTCCATGTATGTCTGAGAGAAGCTCTGTATGATATTTCGATCATTAATAGCTGCATGCATGCGTGCATGCTATATCATGCACGTCGACTCTCAACAGCAGTGGTCGATCGATCCTTTGTCCATGCCCTGACAACACATAATGCACCTTTGATCGCAAACCATTCGCAGGCTGAGAGTGACCTCAATCATGGCTTCATCATGGAGTACTTGGCTTCTTTTTGCCATGACCTTCCTCAGCCCCTGGAAGTCAAGGTGAGGGTTCCGTTGGTACAAATCCGCAGGGACATGAAAATGATATCTGATGGGTGGATCTATAATAATATAAAATAGTTTGTTCTGGCAAGTATTGATCTCCTTCATGGTAGAACTTGGACATCTAAGATCTATGATATTAATATATATATATCGATATACGATGTATGATCGAAACAATTTGATATCTTGATGAATCTTGTGCTATCATGCATCCCATTCTCCAGGAAGCTCTGGTCTATGTCTCAGAGTACTATCGGCTGAACCCATACAAGGATCTCGGAAGCCACCAGGCCATTGGTTCTGTGCAGGACATGCGGGAGTCTCTTAAAAGTGTCATCGACTCAGATACAATAAATCATGCATGATCTCATTAGTGTCAATATCGATCTTCAGTATGGACATCCCAAATTTGATGTATAACGTAGCAATATTGTACCCTTTTTTACATGTGCAAACTCAACAATAATATACAATAATAGGTAAAAAAAAGATAAACAGCCAGCTGCCTGGTAACCTATCCAGAAGCCAAGTTCAATGATTTTGACATCAAATCGCAATTAATTCAAATGTGCTCCATTTGACAGGCCTGGGCAGAGATTGAAGGTGGTATCATCAGGGGCTTAGCCTCTTATTGCCTTGATCGATTTCAGCGCTACAAAAGCTCGAGGCCACCCTGGCTAACCAGGTCATCCTTTAGGGCATGCTGGGCTTCAACATGCATCCATCCATGCATGCACACACAAGTGTTTAAACTCGATTGGCCTAATATGATGACAGTTTTTGTGGGGATTGCATTGCATCTCATGACCTTTCATTTCCAAGCATGCATAGTGCCCTAGCGATGAACCCCTTTTTGACCGACCATGGCCACTGCCAGGAAAGGGCACGCAAAGATGGATGCCATTCGTGATGTGATTCGGGCACGTTTGCAGGCAGTGATTTGCCTTGGGAGATGTGATTTGCAATGTTAAAATACTACTTTAAATTAAAAGATGTCGACGTACAAAGTAACACCGTCATGATGAGCAAGGTTTTCTCAACCGTTTTCATGAATCAAGACCAAGATTTTGAGATACCAGTTGCATCTTTGCACATGCCTGCGCTGCCATGAACCTCGGAACCACCAAGCTAGCATGTTCACTTGGAGGAAATTACCCTATTCTCAAATCCCTGACTCACAGTCCTATCATGATTCGACTTCTTCCTCACATTCTCCCAGCACTGCTTTGCGCATTGCATGCCTCTCAGGCTGAGGGCAAGCTGAGTCCTGATGGCAAAAAGATCCCAACAAGGGGAAGAGGAGCCAGCCGATTGAAACAACAGGAGGCATGCGTGCAGTGTGACAAAACTTCCATATAGCATACATGTGACACTGTTTTTTTTCATGTTCTGTGGCCATTCATTTCTAGAATTGCCTTGACTCACGACCATTGATATGGTGAAGTCCAGCTCACAAATCAATCGACATTACAAATCCTGCTTCATTGAATTCAACCATAGATCCATCTGCATGCATGAGATAATTCTACGACTGCTAATGTGCAACAATGCACTCCCACTCAATGGCAGGCAGCCAAGAAAGCAGTTCTGATGGGGGATGAAAAGAAGGTGCCGATAGACAACATCGAAACCCAGGCCTGGGAGTTCACAGAATCCCAGCATCCGAGTCCCTCTCCGATCCGAAAGCTTCATGACTTTAAAGATATTCCGGAAGAACCAGCTCCCCTGCACCGGCAGAATGCTCTGGAAGCTGGGGATGAGGAGCATGCTGACACTGACACTGACGAGTCTCGTGAAGAATCCAGTGTTGAAACCGATGAGGAGGTTCAACCTATTGCAATTCATGATGATGAAATCCTAGAGATTGAAGAGAGCAGTGAGGAAACAGTCCTGTCACCGAAGAAGGAATTAAAGCCTCCCGCAATTGCTCCTGAAGCTGTCATCGAGGAGGTGTGCGAGATTGAAGATGAGCCAAGATCAGAGCAACCAGCACATCTTGATCTGGAAGACTCACAACAGCTGTTTGAATCCCAAGTGTTTGATGAAGTTCAAGTTCTGGCCGATTCAGATGAAGAGAATGCAAAACCAAGTTCTGGTGTCTTCAAGGTGGGGTGCAAGTGCAATGGGCATATAAACAAGTAGCACAAGTAACTGTCCAACATGCATGTACGTGTCATATGATAATACATCATATAATAGTAGTATGATATATATCATGTCGTTTATTGTTTCTGTATTTTTATGTTTGATGCCTTGAGGGCTTGCCCAAACATTGCAGAATCAATGTCAGTTGCAACTCTTCTATGTGGCATGCATTTGTCACACATTGACTACCGTGTACAGGACAGAAAGCCTCTATGCCAAAAAGTGGACATTCCTCAGAGTCTGAGTGCACAGGCAGCAACCCAAATCCAATCTTTGCACGATGACCCTATGGCAGCTGTCCATGAAGCGGAAATTCTCAAGGCACTTGGGTTCCTCATGTTTCTTCATCGATTGATGCATCATCGACGGTTGCCTTTCCACCCACCATAATGCATGCTCAAGCTACCATTGCAACCAACAAGTATGCCATTGTTTTCTGCCAGCTGATCGTTTGCCGGAAAGAGTGCAAATTATGATTAAGATCCAAACACTTGTAGTAGTGTCCAATGTCATGACATGTCATGACAGATTAAATAAGTCATGATCATCTATGTTCAT